AAGCCATAAAAACAACTTAAATTTGACAGCATGTTAATGTGATTGTCAAGCTTAATCGAAATAAGTACAGTGATTGTCATATGAAAAATCTGGCTGTTAAGCTTCATGTTAAATGTTAACAGGCAGATCGGCTTCTGCAAGAAACAAAATTCGATTTAGCATAAGAACACATAGCTCAAATAGACAGAATGCTAAACCAATATAATATATATAGATAAGCTTTAATGAATTTGGGCAACTCTTCAAAAATCATTTTTCAGTAGTCCTACAAAGCATTAAAAATCTCTATAAATCCCGCCGCTGACAAGCACAACAAACACTTCAAAATTTATCCAAGCAAACATCATAAAATTGTCATACAAGCCGTAAAGTCGAGTCGGGTCTGTAAAAACAATCTGCACCACCGGATGGCAAGCCCGGGCTACCCAGGAACCAGCCGGCATATGAGGTACGCTCTGCGCCCTGCTTCAGCCCGTTGGGGGTCAACAGGGCTGCCCGTGCAGAGGTCACTCGTAAAAAGGGCCGTAAAAAAATATTTTATACGAATAAAAACTCGTGCAAAATCAGCGTAACATGGCGAGATTTCTAGTCGGATGAATGATTATACATATATACATATGTATATATAATTGAAATAGACAGCTGGCCAGGCCAGGCTCTATTGCCGACTCGCTCGCACTCGCACTCTGGTGCTGCTGCGCAGGCGCACAGCGTGTCACAAAAAGCACTTGAGGCTAATTTCGCTGGCTTGTTCAGCATTTCCAATGGCCAATGGCAGATTTTTTTTAATTAAGCTAGCAACATGATTGTTAATAGCAAATTCAGCGACAACAACAACAACAACAACAACAACAACAACAGCAGCAGCAACAACTGCAAATTGTCGCTTGAAAAAAAGCTGTTGTTGGTTAGCAATTTGTTGTGGATTGAATGAATTTGTGAGTGTCTGAATGAGTAAATGAATAACTGAGTGAATGACAATTCGCTGTTGTTGCTGCTGCTGCTGCTGTTGCCGTGTCCAGTGCACACGCAGATTGAATTTCCAGAGAACATGTTTTTTTAATTTTCATGCGAGAATAATTTTGTGTGGCGGAAAACGCTTGCATAAAAAACTCAAACAAAAACAACATTGTTGCCGTTGCTGTTGTTGCTGTTTTTTTTTTTTTTATGAAAATAGCCAATGGCCAGTGGTCGCCGGGACAGTTAACAAGCTCTGGCATTGACCATGCGGACCCCCTTCGTTACCCAGAAATGGGACTCGGAACAGGTGAGCAGCAGCTGCCGTTGCATTTGTGATTTTTCGAAAGGTTATTTGAAATTGTTGAAATGTTTGCCAAACAGCAGGAAAGCAAAATTAATTAAAGTTTTGCCAGCGTTACGACAGCGCTCAAAAACAAAATAGAAACAATATTGTGAATCGTTCAAATAAATTGTTTTTTTTTTTTTCTATTAATGTAACTAAGACAGTTTTTAATGGACAGCGACATTTCCCTAGATATAAAATATGTTATCCACAACATGGTTTTCATTAGATATAAGAGAATGTTAGAAATGTTTGTATTGAATGCATATATATAAAATGTAGTGGAACTCCCTTAGAGTAGGAGATTAAGAAAAGGGCAATCCGTTCGATAACTAAAATAAATAATCTTTCACAATTTTGAGGAAAGAGAATAAGAGATATATTTCAAAAATATTACCCCTCACAATAGTACATCACACAAAAAACTTTCATGGTGAAAATCTAAAGATAAAAAGTACAAGTTTCATAAGCCTAGTTCCCACTTATTTATTTAAATATGCTAAAATTACTGTTAAAAACATGTAATTTTAATAAGTACTATTAGTAAAGTTTTATGAACCAACAGTGATATGGCTTTAGGTGACGCAACACCCCAATCCTGTCTAGAGGAAAAAAGTATTATACAGCTGCTTGGTTACCTACCTGGTTACCTATGGCACTTGGCACTCGTTGATAGCAGGACATAAATCTGAGTTGCTTTGATCTATTGGAAAACGCCCCTTGGGATGTCAACCCTTGTGTGGCAGCCACACGCAGAATGAAAACGCACTCAACCACTTGAAAAGTGAATGCAACTGCGAAACTCGCAATAAATCTTCAAAAAGACAACCAAAAATTTGTCACTTTCACCGCGACCAAAATAATTGTGGAAAGTTCCATACAAAAAACACAAAAAAAAACAACAACATTTTCTAGACAATACAAAAAAAAAAAAAACAATATATATATGACAGTATATGGACGCTGAGTTTTACGGTAAATTGCGCAAGGATAAAGGAGTTACGGAAAGTTGTTTAATCCTTTTTGTAAAAACAACCCAGCGAAATTGCCACTCAAAAGGTGAAAACTGTCGAAAAACATTCGTCCTGCATCCTGCTGCATGGACTGTGCGTCCCGCTGTGCGCATGCGCTGACTTATTGGCAGCTGACCAGGATCAGGACTGGCGGCTCGTGCCGGAAAGGGGTCGCCTGCGGTTGCCGGACAAATTGAAATAGCAAAATCATTTTTCTGCCGCCATGGAGAATTGCATTTAATTACAAGAGCCAACAAATGCGATCGGACTAAAATTTTAAAGCATCGACGCCGCCGCCGCCGCCGCAGGACAATTTCGGGCAACAAATTCACGCCTCGCTACACAAAAGCGCTGTAAATTATATTGTTAGACTGACCAGCGGCCAGCCAGGGACAAGGGACGAGGGGAGTTAAGGGGCGAGTTGCATAATTGCAACGAACTGAAACAATTGCGCGCACAATCAGACACAACAGGATGTCCATGTCTAACCCGCACCCGCTCGCCCACCCTCCTGGCTCTCGCCACAGCTAGTCCTGTCGTTTTATTAGTCCTGCGCTCATCGATTGTTTGTTTAGGATGCTGTGCACGGCAGCAGCAGCAGCAGCAGCAGCAGCAGGAGTGCCATAGTTATGGGAATGGCCAGTTACATGACAGGACATAATAATAAAGTATGCCAACTAAATTATGAAACAACCCCCAACCCTGACGCCATTCGATATCCGTGATGTTCGTTCCGCTTGCACTGGCAGCTCACACGGAGAAGCAATTCATCGAAATCTGTGTACATATAGTATATGCTAATGTTTATCCTGACTGTCTGATGGACCGACTGATCAAAGGGTTAACTTAACATTTTACCTTATGTGATCTAAATAAACACTACGACGAAGGATTTCGTAAATTCCACCGGTCAATGTGGAAAATTGGTGGAAAAACGACAGCATGAAAATACATTTAAAACCATCCATTTAGTTCCAAACTAATTTTCATTTGTATTACAATATATTTTTGTAAATTTATTTGAAACCTGCTTCATGCTTTTTGCAAAATTCAACCGACCGGGCGAGAAATGGGTCAGTAGATTGCATGAGGAAAAGTCCGGATTGAATTCAGTCGAATTAAAAAACGTTAAGTGGAATTTTTCAAATTTCCAATTGGATTCGAAACTGCAGGGCTGCCACATAGTCAAAAAGAGTTGTGTGTGCCACTTGAGAGGCTGTGGTGCTAGAGCATGTACATCGTAATCGATATATCGGTTCATACAATCATTCTCTTAAAAACTTGCCAAATTGCAATTAACAATAATGCGATTACTCATTCAGTAGGCTGATACTTTACACAAATTAAATAAAAATATATAGTTGCACATACATATACCTCATAATTTAAATATTGCGGCAATAACGATTGACAACAGCTGTAACGCTGGTTCATTTGAACCGAACTATTTGTCAGACGTAACGGGTGCGTACGTAAACGTTCATCTCTAAAACATAACTAAATTTTTGTAACAAATTTTAAAAAGATTCAGAAAAATGGCCAGCAAGCAGTTGTTAAGCCGTGTTAGTACATTGGGACGCTGTAGCCCGACCTGGGTGACACCTTTGGCTGCCGTGCGCAACTCTAGCTCCCGCAGCGACATCGAAAAAGTAACACACACTGGCCAGGTAAGTGTGGTGCGGCGCTCAGCTGTGTGGGATTCGCGATTACGCAAACATTGTTATTCCTTCGTGTATGAAACCAAATGTTGGGTTTTAGGTCTTCGACAAGAATGACTACCGTAATGTGCGCTTCACAAATGCCAAACGCTACGTGAACGAGAACTGGGGCATCAAGCTGATCGACGAGGTGCTGCCGATTGAGTCGGAAGAGCGCGTTGTCTGCTGCGACGGCGGCAACGGTCCGCTCGGACACCCCAAAGTCTACATCAACCTGGTATATTGGACAAAAGCATTGATTGAACGTGTTCTAGATATTCGTTATTTGTTCTAGGATAAGCCCGGCAACCACGCCTGCGGCTACTGTGGCCTGCGTTTTGTGAAGAAGGATGCTCATCATTAAAAGCATTGCTGGGCCAACCGAGGAAGCGGTTACTACCATTGAGCTAGTTGAATATGTATACAAATAAAAGGAAAAGTTATAACTAACAAGACACTTGACGGAACATAACCATGAGTTGTTTCCTGGCTTAAATTCTGGCTTAAGTAATATGAATGGAGTCGAGCGGATCCTCCTTTGCTTTCCGAATGGAATACAGCGGGACCTCAGAGATATAGCTTTACTTCTGTTTCATTTGATTAACATTTTTACTTATTTATACCCTACCAAAGAATTGGCTGCATTTCAATGTAATCAACATTAGATCGTAGTTACTTCTGTGATTCAAATGGTTGGGTGATCATTTTTAACTATATTTTTGAATGGTAATTTTAATTTTCTGCCCAATTTATATGTAATTAGCATCAGCAGCCGAATAGGCTAAGCCATGTCCGACTGTCTCTACACAACCAAATCTCACAGGTTTAAGGGTATTTTGATAGGACCCGGATTTCGATCCCATAAACAACCATAGATTTCCCCCAATCATCAAATTCCATGCAGCAAGCTCACATGTAAGTATATAACGGGCTTCTAAATGATATTTGAAATGCTCCCCGGATATGCTCAGAAAAACGGATCCTTGGTTTGCTGCACTCGCTTATTGCACAACACTTTATTCACTTGCATGTTCTTGAATGATATCTAATACAATGTATATGTATGCGTTAGCATTGTGGTCTATTTGTTAATAGAAAATTACCAACTTAAATAGATGTATATATAGAGATTAGCAATAATTGTAAATAATATGCGATTAAGTATATAAATATGTATGCAAACAAATTTCATATGAGCTTGCATAAGAAAAGTCGCCAAAAAAAAAAAAAAAAACAAATAGAAATAGATATAATATATGTGTGTAGATCCGACCACACCACAACATACTGGGTGTGCATTTAAGTAAGTTTATCGAAACCTAATGAAATCATAATTATGCTTGTACGAGCCGGTATATTATGATTGTTGTATATTTTTTTGTTTAAATATGCGTTTTGCTTCCGCTACTTCTTTACTACGGGCACTCTAGATGCTGCACGCTCCATTGAGACACAGATAGTACCACGAAAAGAATATAAAGACAAAAAAAGAAATATAAATATATATTGCCTCCGAGTGCCACAGCATGTGGGGCTGGGCACACACGGGCCACACGTGCGGTGGTGCCAAGGCGGACTGGCAAAACTGAAAAGAATCACGTTCACACCAACTCCGAGCCTGCAGCTGATCACAACGACCAGACGAGACGAGTGGGCTGGGCTGCCGTCGTCTGGAATGGCGTTGCCCTCAGTGCTGAGGGGTGTATCCTGCAGCTTGCTCTGGAACTGAAAGTGGGGGCGCACAACTGGTGCGCTGCTCACAATACACAAACAGCGAGTGCCTTTTGTGGGTCGCTGCTCAAATAATCAATGGTCAATAATCGTCGTCATCTGTTGTCTCAATTGCGTTTCATCTAAAACACCAACAAACACTTAAGAGAATGTAAACTAAAATGTAATAGGTTCTAATTTGGATGTTGTGTGGGACTATGTTGCCGACGAATCGCTTTAGCTTATCTTCATACTGTTGTTGCTGCTGCTGCTGCCGCTGGAGGAGCAGCATTGATCGCTTATCTTGATTGGGGCAATAGTTGTTCACCACTGGTCACCAGAGGTTCCGTGGCATGGCGTAGCCTTCTTTTGTCACAAATATATTGCGATTCATGCACGCCTGACGATCTCCACCAGCTCCAATTGCCGCCTGCCGGCCCGTGCCCGAGCCCGTGCCCTCTTGGCTGACCGTTGTCTCTTTGCGCCCGTCCACAATGCGCGTCACAGTTGTCGTCTTCTGACCGGTCGAGTCCTGGGTCACTTTAATGGTCTCATAGCTGCCATCCGGCTTGCGCACTGTCTTCGTCATCACGCTCTGGCTGAACATTTTCGGGCCCTGATAGGTGCCATCGAAGACGCCGCCAAATGGCGTCATTGGCGTCATTATGTTCGGCTTGCCGCTCGGCGGCCGTGCCGGCAGCAACACGGCCGGTTTCATTTCGCCTTCGGCATTGAGAGTGCCGTGTATACGACCCATGATGATCTCCTCATCGGAAAGCTTAACGCGTGGCACGCGCAAGCCACGCTGATTGGAGGGCAAAATATTTTCGTGCCCCTCCTCCGGATTCAGGCGTTGTATCAGCGTGTACAATTGATCTGGATAGATTCTGGGCATACAATTACATTAAGATGACATGGATTTTATATTCATTATCTACTTACTCTCCATCCAAGTCGGTGTCGAGCGAGTTTTCTTTCTTATGAAATTCTTTAAGTATTTTGCTTTCGAAGCCGGGTTTCAAGAAATCTTCCCTTAAGTTACGCTCAACTCCAGCATCTGTTGTGGATAATTCTCATGAGACTTGACAAAAACTTATTGGATACATTATACTCTACCTTCATTGTCTTGCACCGACTCCAGCAGACGCTGCAGTTGACGCTCAAAGTGCTTCTGCATCTCCAATGGACTGGTAAAGACTTGGAACGCAAACTTGCGATCGTCATCGAAGAGCTCATCATCAGTTTCGGCCTCCTCGAACCACTGGGGCTTGCGGAACTCATCCTTGTTGGAGGCGGTTGCGGAAGCGCTGCAAGCACACAGGCTGTTTAATACAGGAGCATACATATGCAAATACAGTTAAGGCAAGGGGGCGGCTGCACACACACAAACACACACAGAGACCACAGCCACCCCCCTAGCGACCGCAGGAAGAACACTTCAATACGCAGCCTCCGCAACGCACAAGCTCACACACACATACATACACATACATACACATACATACACACACACACACACATTTGCGCCTGTGTATATCCTGGCAAAAATGTATCTATCATAGCAGGTGCCTGGTTTATCGATCGATTCATTGAAAAAAGCCGCAGTCCGCTTATAAAATTTGCATTAATTGAATACTTACTCTTTCTCCTGCTGCTGCTGCTCGAATTCCGATTGGAACATTTTCTTGAGTATATCCATGGCGAATTTTCGTGTTTGTTGTTTTTTTGTTTAGCTTTAGTAAAACGTACTTGTACGGGTCCAGAAAATGCTTATCCTTTTGGGGACTGAGCAACTCAAACTTTGTGAATTTATGTAGAGAAAGAAAAACTAAAAGAACCAAAATGACGCAAATAACAATTATGTTAGCAAAACTTGTGAAAAGTCTTCGTTTTATAGTTTTTCTCCCTATTTATTATTTTATTTGTGTGTCCACAAAATTTTCACGTATCCCAAACACCACCACGACATACAGAAATTGCTCGATAAGCGAACAGCTGACCAGAGCAGCGGTGAGCGTTTCGTTCCAACTGTCACACGCATACATTCTCGCACACACACACACGTACGCACCATGCCTGCGCCACGAAATGGAAACGAAACGCGCGCCGCATCGATGTTTACATACTGGAATTAGAACATGGCGGGCCGGCTTCAAATGTTATAGCGTTTTGCTGAAAATTTGGCTTTATCTTGACAAAAAGAAAAAATATATAGATATAAATACTGGATTTGGTTAAAATAATTTATTCAACTTTTCACTCTAAATCTAAATATTTTCTATTACTTAGCAGATCTGATACAAGAGGCAGAGAAACACTGACAAGCAGCAATAAGGTATACAAAGCGTAACAAATCCTTTTTTTATATAGACTTTCTCTCTATATACGTAGAGATGCGTATTTCCGCCTATTTTCCAATTTGAAATCTTTTCTTTGACAAACGTTTGGTTTTCGATTAGTTCTCTTGCAGGCAGCCCGTTCGAAGGAGCTTTTCTAACTATTTTATGGGTCTTTAGTTGGTATTTGATTTACAGGCTCTGTTCAAACCGTAAACACAAACTGCGAGATCTTCAGTTTTGTACAAATTACAAAGTTGTTGGTAGTTGGCTTTTCTAGGGCTAACAGATATGGAATACCTATTTGCTTAACTTTGCAGCCGGATACTTTTTGGTATTTGGAAGGGGAAAACCCTCCCCGTCTTAGATATATATATATATATATATATATATATAAACTTAAATTCTAATGCATGTTCTCCTTGTCGCCAATGCTGCAGCGTTTGCCCTTTTGAATTTTCATCATCTTATTCTCATCGGCGCATTTCGTGGTGATTGCGTTGCGCACCTCCTTCTCGCTGGCATTCGATTTGCGCGTCACGGCAAAGATGATGTCCTGTATCTTGAGCGGATCGAGCATTTGCTTAAGCGGCTTCTGCTGATCCTTGAAGGCTGGCGACGGCTTGCCGGTCATCGAGTGTGTGGCCAGCGTTTCGCGGTCGAATGTGGCCACCAGCAATTTGCGCGTGGCCAGCGAGGAGACGGACCAATTGATATTCTCAAAGACACTGGCCGGCACACAGGTATTGTTGGGCCCAATGGAGACCATCACATTGTCCGCCATTTGCTGTTCTGCCTTGACATCCGGCTTCCACTCGTCCCTGGCCTTGCCGTGGCTTCTGCGCGTGGGCAGCTTGTAATTGACGTTGTGCAGCTGCTGCTGCTGCTGCAGCACCGGCGGTGCAGACATGTTGTGCTCCTGCAGCTCCAGCTTGCGCCGCTTGATCAGCTGCAGCGGCGTCGTGGACTCGCGCTTGATCAGTTGATGTGGCTGCTGTTGTTGCTGCTGTTGTTGCTGCTGTTGTTGCTGCTGCTGCTGCTGCTGCTGTTGTTCATCGTTACCCAGGCAAATTTCCAGGCGATCCGAGTCGGCGGATGTGCTCAGGCTGTTTAAACTTTCCGCCGCCAAACGTATCTCGATGGCATCCGCATCGTTGCAGTCGGCGCCAGCAGCTGCAATTATTTTATAGTCAATCACCTCGGAGCGCTGCGGCTGGCTCGAGCTAGGTGCACAGATAACAGAGCTGGGCGGCGTCAGTATTTGTGGCTGGTGTGTGGGCGGCGTCGCCGGCGAGGCAGCTGTGGCTGTGGCCAGTTGCATGCGTGCCGATGTTGCGTGTATTTGGGAGAGCAGATCCGTGTGCTCCTGCAGCTTGGCCTCCAGATAGCGCACTTTCTCGCGCAGTGCACGATTCTCGGCCTCCACATGGGGATCGTTCTCCAGAGTGCGCAACAGCCCAAAATCCTCGCCCGTAGTCTGTGTCCAGGCCGTGAGCAGCATCGGCTGCTCCCGGCCGCTCCAATGCGAATCGTCGCGCACATTCACGAAATTGGAGCCGTTTGCTGGCAGTATCTAATTAAAATTTGTTAATAAATGCAGTTGCATTGCACTGGAGTTCAACACCTACTTGGGGTTCCATTTTGTCGATCCTGGCTACGGTCCCGCGTTGCGTGCGTCTTGCAGGATGAGCGTCAACTGTGCGAAGCCCTGCACAAACTCAAAGAAATTGGCGGCAGAATATCAAACAACGCGCGAAAAACCAAATGCATGCACAATGAGAGAGACAGAGGGGTAGTTTATACTTTTTAGCAAAAGCAACAACGTGAACAGCGACAATAACAACAACAACAGCAACAAGAACAACAAGAACAGGCACAATGCATTCCAACTACTTACACATGCTACCTGGGAACCAATAAAGCCGAAGCGTATGTATGTGTGCGTGAGTTACTGTGTGAATGTGTGCGTGCGTGTGTGTGCTGCTCGCTCTTTAGCCCTGCTTTCAGGTAAGCGAATATATTTTGAGTGTACGTGCGTGTTTGTGTGTGTATCCTCTTTGGAATGGGACTTTCTATTCTATATCCCAACTGGTGTCAGACCAATTTTCATTTTCGATCCTTCTCTTCTATTTGATGCCTGCCTCTGCACCACACTGCATGCATTTCTTTCGCGCGGGAACAAGAATCGTAAATTTAAAGCAAAGGCAGAGTTGTCAACCATTCGGTTTCTGGCATATTACAGTATTTTCACTAAGAGGCATTAGCATTAGCAGCACATCGTTGCGTTTCATTTACAGCTGGTATTTCAACATACTAAATTATATTTTGGCAGCAATTCATAAAATTATATTAGTTTTATAAGCATTATAGTATTAAAATTATAGCATACTATTATTAAAATGGTAATTCATATAATTTAAATATCTATCGAAGCAAGAATTGTGACTGCAAGAAGCCGTTTGGCTTAAACCGGTTTCTTGATCACGAGAATGAAAACGTAATGGGACCAGTTGTTGGCATGCATACAAAAATAAGTATCCCTTTTGGAATACTAGGGGAAAACACACGTTGACTCTCTGATCGGAAAATAAAACATCCCTAGCTCGCGCAGATGTTAAAACCATTAGAGCATAAAGCCTGGTGGAATTTTTAAGCAGAATCTTCTTGTGCCAGGTAGAATGAGTCCATTGTTAACCTCTTTGTGTAATTCTGTAAACACAATTCGCAAAAATGTGTTTTAAACAGGAAACCGTGAACATTTATTTTTTTTAACGATTTTTGATTTTGAATGCAAGCACTTTGGATGAATCGTAGGCGGGTTTTAGAAAACCAGTATTGTCGTTTATTTAACATATTTAATATTCTACAGCAATATCTTTGTCTACAGTAATATTATTAACTTCAAAATTGTATTTTCTGCAGTCAGTTGCCAATGCTTCTACCAAATCGAAACTTATTTTTTAAGAAAGCATTTGCAAAATTTTAATTCCCAGTAGTACTCCTTATTGATAATTTGACCTTGTGACAAGAAGTAATGGCGCACTATGTAGTGTTCGTCTGAGATGCTTCGCGAAAATCGATTTCCCCCCAGTTTTAAAGCTAGTCACCTAGCTCGGTGGCAAATTTGATGACCTCCTTCTAACAGCATTCTAATAGAGAAAATGTAGATCTCATAGTTTGAAGTTCAGGCTTTCTGATTTAAAGTCAAAACTCCAATAGTCATTATGATGCTTTTCACTGTTTCAAGATGTTATTACTCAATGAAAGGATACAAGACCATTGCTAATCAAATTTTATTAACTTTTATAATCTAAGAATAACAATTTGAAAACCCAAGCTACAGGCCCTTCTAACAAAATTCGAATGTATTATATTTTAATACTAAAGGGTATAGAAAACGCAGTATTGTATATATGATATTGCTTTAACAATACCGTCTAAGCGGTATTTCAATAACTACGAAAAATCGAACTTGCAATTGCAGCAATCTTCGAGCAAGTACCGCTGTTTTAATTAATTGCTCTTTGCGCTCTGGTAACTCTATTGGCCATCTGTCAAAATCTGAAATAACTGTTAATCCTAGATCATAAAACCTGCAATTTGCAAAGGAGTTTCCAAGGCCAACTGTAATTCTAGCTTAACATTTTTCACAAAGATAGCCGCAAAACCTTTGCAGCTGCGCAAGATTTGCTTACCTGTTATTACCTGCTGCCGAAGAAAAAAGATCCGAACATTGATGGCTCATTTTCATAATTTTGGGAATAAAAATGGCAACGCCGAAGGAATTTACATGCCAGTTCATGACAGTGCAGAGACGTGGCCAGAACAAGCTCGCGCAGCAGCTTACACGAATCCCAGCCTGAATATTCAGCCAAACAATTTGTTGCCAGTTGTGCCGTTCACGCATTCTCCATACTCGTATCCGTATCAACAGTTTTTAAGTCACTTTGCTCCGAACCTGGTGCCCTACTACTACTCATTGCTGACTCCAGCGCCCATCGATTACGGCTTGAACTTCGGCTACCAGCAGAGAGCAGTCCCTGCAGAGATGGACATTGACAAATACATCAACTCTGAGCTGAGCAAGCAGCAGAGCTTGCTGCGTAAACAGAATGTGAGACCGCGCCCGCTTAGCCAGCTGCAGCTGCCCAGCAATCGACAGTTGGTGGCGGTCAAAAAGGAGCCTCAGCAACGGCGCGTCATCAATGTCCAAGTGGTAGCAATGTCCGGCAGCACACGGGATCGCACACCAGACGTGGAGCCATTGCCGCCCGTTGAAGCCTCTTTCAAGGAGCGTGTGGCCAAAATAAACAAAAGCCAGCAACATTACACACAGCTCTTTGACCGGTTGACCAGCATGCTGCAAACGTTGAATCGACGCTACGATGGCAACGAAATGGAACCAGAGCCAGAGGCCGAGCTTGAAGAGGCACCCCCGCCGCCCTTGAAGCGCGCACGTCACGATATGTCGAGTAGTTCCAGTGAATCGCATTTGGATCCCGAGAATTCCTCATCCCTTTCCATTTATCCGCAACGTATACAGCTGAAGGATGGCAGTTCCGAGTACGTGCTTGGGCCCCATGGCACGCGCATCAATGCCAAGGACTACGGTCAGGTGTTCTGGACAAGTGCGCCAGTTGCGACACGCTGCCTCCTGGCTGCCGTCTTTAGCAGCGATGAGCTGGCCACGCACACGCTGACCGGCAAGCCGTCGCCAGCGTTTTATGGACGCGAGCGACCGGCCAAAAAGATGCTGGATCAGAACAGGGTTGATGACATTGTTGTGAGTGTGCGCAATCGCACCGGCGGCAAGGAGCGTCACATAAGAGCCACCATAACCACAAAGTGCGCCGATACGGCAAAGAAGTACAAGCGACGCGCCAAGAAGGCGCTCAAAGATGATGTCGTTGTCATAGACGAATGAGTCCATAAAATCTTGACCATAGGCTGTTTAGCTGGATATGATCTAGCTATAGACATAGTACATATAAGAATTAGATGTAGACTTCCTTTTGCAAATAAAGATGCTCAACAAAAAGCCAATTTTATTAGCGCTATGGCGTCTGCTGCCCTTAGGAGTGTTCCATTCGCACTTGAATTTTTTAAATAATAACCATCTATGCTAACGATTTTCTATGGGAGCAGTCACTACTTCTTTGCCGATGGATTCCAAGCCTCCACTTTGGGGGGCGTTGTTGTGTAAGGCATGTAGGACTCTATAAGAATACAATTAGTTTTAATATTTGTATAAAGGGTTTGCTCATATTTAATTTACCCTTGGTGCCCGACAGATTCTCGCTGTGATCCATCATCCATTTGTGCTTGGGGCGGCAGCCATCCCGGATGGGTGGCAAATCGGTCTGCAATAAGCATTATATTAATTGAAAAGTGACAAATAGGATAGCACCTACCTTGTAGTGCATCCAGCCGAACCACTCGGCGGGTATCTGTGAGCCATCGTAGTCCATGTTGACATGTGGGGAAAACTCCACCCAGCGGTTTCTGCCATAGAAATAGTAGGGGTTCTCGAAATACCTGTTCCCGTACTTGTCTATGCCGACAAGTTTGCCTGTCTTCAGATCATCATTTCTGTTTATATGGGAATTTAAGAAATTTGCAACTTATATAAGAGAGCGCGGAGCTTTGGTTCACCTGTATAGCTTCAAATAGGCTTGCTTGAAGCCGCCGGCTTCGCGAATGGCCTGGAACAGCCTACCCAAGCGAGTAATTCCCAGAAAATTGGCCATTCTGCTTGACAAACGAAATATTATGACAAATTTTGTGATTTATAGTTGAAGAACTTACGTGCAAAGCAAAACAATGTTGCCACTTAGTTAAAATGTATATGTTATTGTTGTGCTACCAGGGCTACACAATGCGTCTGAGGTTGGCAAATATAACCAATCTTCAAGATTCATTTTGTGTATTTTGCAGCCCTGTGTCCAGGTCTGTTCATCAATTTGGTATTTCGTGAATCAATTCGCTGGATATAAGAAGTAAAACTCAGATAACCTGTGCTTATAACAACATTCAACATGGCCAAAAACACTTCAAGCAATGCGTTTCGTAAAATCGATGTGGACCAGTATAACGAGGACAATTTCCGGGAAGATGATGGCGTCGATAGCGCCGCTGTTGGTCCGGACGAGAACGAAATCACATCCCTGTTAACTAAAGGCCAGGGTGTGGAAGCGCTGCTCAGCGCGCTCCAAAACGCGCCCCTACGTTGTAAAAACCAGCACGTCAAGGTAGAAGAATGCGTCACCCACAGCACAGATAAGCGCTTATTCATAAATTCAATTGCAGGACAACGCACTGAACATAACACTGCGCGTGCTGTTATCGATCAAGTCAACGCAAATCGATCAGGCTATCGACTTGCTGGAGCAGAACGACCTGATCGATGTGCTCATGAAATACATATATCGGGGCTTCGAAACACCCTCCGAGGGCTCCAGTGGGCATCTGCTGCAGTGGCACGAGAAGGCATTCGCCAAGGGCGGCGTTGGCTGCATCGTACGTGTGCTCTCCGACACGAACCGTGCCTAAAGTGCGACTATTACAGAAACAAGCAACCAGATAAATCAATCACATGTGTTGTTGTTTTTGCCACCACTATAAAAACCCGTTAAATATCCGAGCTAGGGCCCTAGTCCGAGTGCCAGTTGGATTATGCCGCAATAAAAAATAACAGTTTTCCAAATTAGATTTAAACTCGTATTCAAGTATTCAAGTTTTTATTACAAAAACTGCCTAGTATATTCGCTACTTTATAAGCGAGAAAATGAAGGATTTAAAACAAGAAAATAAAAATGTGTTTAAAACTTCAGAAGCTTGATAAATTTCAAAGGTTGCAATCCCTCAACCCAAACCGAAATGCTTTAGTTTTCCGGTTTCCGGCAGATTTAAAAAGTGACACGTTTCGTTCAGTGTTTAATCAACATATTTTCTGATTTTATTTGACTATTCAAAAATGTAATAGGTGCTTTGATTAACTTAAAACAAATCAATCACGATGACAACTCATTTCACATGCAAGATGGTCAAATGGCTTCGCAAAACTGATGAACGGAGGAGAAATGCTAGGCGTCCAGGTAGAAAATGAAATACATTGATGCTTGTCTCCCTGCTGACGACTCTTCAAATGCAGCGATAAGAAAACGAAGAAATGTTTTAAATATACTTAAATCTATTATATTATGGTCTGGTTTAGCCCGTATTCTGAATTTGGTGCTAAATGTAAAGCGCTAATGTTTTGGGAAACATTCAACAAAGCGGATAACTTCGGGTTTTCTGATAGTAGTTTCTAGTTGTTTTCAATAAATAGTGCTTCATAATTTCCGGGGATATTAAGTCGAAACTGGCTTCAATATCATATCTCGGTCAAGCACAGGCGCGCACACTACCACATGTGAGTCTCGCGGATTTCGCTGATAATGTGATTCGCACGAGTCAGTGCCTTAAAAGAGTTATGAAACATTTAAATAAATGAATAAATAGCTTAAGTAATTATCTCACCTTCAACATATCCGCCGCCTCTTTTCGGCGCACTGCAATGTGATCCGACTCATTCAGCAGAGTTTCAGCCTTTTCCGATTTATATAAATGGGTGACAAGCTCACTTTGCAAGTTATCCTTAACGTAGTTAACCAAAAAATGCATAATTGCCTTTGGTACAGAGTCTTGTATAGATTTGCGCACAATATAGAAATACGATTTAATCAGGCGCTCTACAAGAAATATAAATTAAGATAAGTGAACAAGAGGCAGGCAAGTTTATTGAAATCAAACTAACCAATCACATCGCAATCCTTTTGCTCCTTGTCTGTGAGGCGACGTGGATTGGCAATAGCCGGCACATCGGGCAGCAGATTGACCGGCTTCAGCGGACTGACCATATTGTTATGCACTGGCGTATTGCTAGCCGAGTTCTCCATGCTGTCGGGACGATTGGGCGCGGGTGGTAAAATGTTTGATAACCAAGAGCCTGTTGAGTTTTCGCCAACGTGATTCTAAAAAGGGTTAACAAATGATTACTGATATGAGAAAATACATATTGAGTAATGTCTTGCTTAGGGTTAGCCAGTTTATATCTAAGGGCTGCTGCTGTGGCGCGCTTTGACTAAAATTGGTATGTTATGTTAAAAGTTAACATGATTGATGATAAAAAATTAACAGTTAAAGGATTGAGATGTTTAAAAATAAAAGGCCTTTTGAAACTGTATAAATATTAACACGAGGGGAAAGCATTCAAAGCAATCACACCGAAGCTTACATACCCTTGACAAAAGCAGCCCATAAAACGTTGTATAAATCTATGAAAATAAAGTTAGTTCAAACAAAAAGTACTCAAATCGCTTGTTAATGTGATAACTGTGTAGCCGAATTGGTCGAATTGTATAAACAAATTATGATAAAATGACAAAATTAAATAACCTTTCAGACAGAGAGTTTCTTGCAATGAGCACTATATAATATAGTTACTCGACGTTCACCTATTTTTGATCAGATGATGACAACTTCGATAATTTGTAGTTTACCAATGTATTTTTTAAACAAAAGGAATCATAAACTAACCCAAGTTTTAACAGTAAATTTGAAAAACTGAGAAGATAGAAACAAAAAGACGAAGAATTCAGCTTGCGGCCCTGATCACTAATTCATATACATTTTGAGCTTTGATGTTCCCTGCAATATCTTATGCATATTATCTAAAGTATATCTTAATCAAAGCTATTTCAATAATAGCTTTACCTTTATATACATGTCTTTGGATGCGACCTCCAAGCAATTGAGTTAACAGCCTTATTTGAACGTCAGAAAATAGATGTGCAAACAATCTTTACCTGGTCATGCGTATCATTTTGTTGCTGTTGTTGCTGCTGCTGCTGTGTGTGCATCTGTTGGTGCGACTGTTGCATCTGTTGCTGGTTCTGTGCGACCGAGTTGTGTGCGGAGACCTGCGGCGACATGTTATTGCGTGACGTATTCGTGCGTCGCGACTGCGCATAGGGATCGTTGTCCGTTTTGAGTAGGCTGGGCACCAAGGCGGCTTCCTTGTGAAAATCTGGATGCTTGGTATTGATGTACGCCAACTCGATGGCCACAATGTTCTCGACCATGACATTGGTGGCAGGCAGACGACAACGCAGCAGTTGGGTCACCACATCGACAATCTTCTCGTGCAGCTTGGGGAAACTGCAAACATATATAGATTAGTTGACAGTTCATGTTAGGTAATGGGGTTAACCTACCGCAACATCTCTTGTTGCACTTCATTGCCGCAATGCTGCACAATGCGTTGCATTTCTTCGTGTATCAGCTCAACGCAGCGCAGCGAGGGCTCCTCCAGGCGACGTATTTGCCGCTTCACCAACAGCTCGAACGACACCTCAGGCACAAACAACGCCGGTCGTGGCCCTGTTGCATTGCGTATGGCTGTAAGAATGTCCATTTTGGTCAAGCCGGCTAGCGGGTGTATCGAGTCCAATGTGCGTCCAAAGATCTCATGGAAAATGTAACAGAGGCGCGCACCGCCGCACAGCTCCGTTGTTTCGATATTGCGCGCCGTTCCCTCTATTGTGGAGCAGTAGGCACTGGAGAACTTAGTTATAATATGCAACAGCGTTTGGCTCTTGTCCGAAACGTCCTCGCCGTAGGAGTTGAGTAGCGATTGGAATTGCGTGGACATAATATTCACGCGCGTCTATAAGACTAATGGATTAGATTCCAGCAGTGGAAAATATAATTATAAAACACACCTTAAGATCGGGTAGGCAGTCGCGTATATGGTGCATCAGCAGGCGATTCAGCGTTTTCGCCAGATAGGGTGTGCCGTTGCGTGTGGCCAGCGTGGGATATTTGCGCTGCAGGAAAGCCGCTTCGTCCTTCATTTGGTCATCGATGTTCTTCTTATCCATAATGTCCTGCTGCGAGCGATTCATTACACCAATGATGCCCAGCTTGACGGGTATGACGCGACCGCAGAGAATATCAATGGCATCAGTGCCGGCATCCATGAGATCGAGTTTGGTGACCACGGCTAGTGTACGCCGGCCATCGGGATCCACATCTTTGGCCAGCTTGAGGGCCTCGCTGGTTGCCATGTCCGTGTTGGCGGCCGTTACGGCCAAAATAATTGAATTAGGATTCTCAATGTACTTGATGACCAAATCCTTGATTTGGGTTTCAATATCCTCGGGCTGATCGCCAACAGGCACTTTGGTAATGCCCGGCAAATCCACCAGCGTCAGGTTGACAACGCGCGTGGAGAATATCTTGAGATTTATGGGCTCCGGGCAGATGCCCTTGTTGCTGCCCGCCACACGATCCGTTTCATTGTCGATCTCGTTGCGTATATCATTGAAGTCCGTAAAGCATTTCTTCGAGTGCAGAAAGCGTCCCCACTCCTCCGCATTAACAGTGCCTGCAAGAGAGAGACTCGTTTTCAAAAGCCATTTTAATTGGACTTGTGGCCAGCTCACCATTCTCTGCTGAGCGATGCTCGCGATCCTCAAGCGGACAGTGAATCAGTTGCAGAATCAGCGGGCGGCGTGTGACAATGCCCGTTCCGCGTGGCAGAAACGAGCGACCAACAACGCTCTCGATTACGGAACTTTTGCCTGAACTCTGCAATCAAATGACAAGCATTATTAGTAAGTGTGTGTGTATATATTATATCTACTAGTGCAACCAGGAAGCGAGAGCCCCGCGATTAGCGCATATACATATTTTCTTATCGGCAATCTACAAGCGTACAACACTTGATCAGAATTGGCGGAGTTGGCATTTTTAGAGTAACGCACGTGATGCAAGATGAAAAATGTCAAAATATCTTTTTGGAAAGTAAATAATGCTACTTGAAGATCATAACAATAATACAACAGTCCAAGTGGCCCAGTCATGTGAACAACTGGACCCCGAGGCTCCGGGCTCGAATTTCAGACAAGAATATGGATCTAGTATTGTCCTAGCCGAAGTTCTTAGTCTCCACTGTTATTTGAAATGTAAGTTTGACAGTTCGTAACTGGAACCTATAAGATAGTAAACTACAAATTTATTATCTTTACGCGTGATATGTTTTCCCTTACAATTCAACTGAGATTTAGTTCATATGAATTTATATCGAAGACATGTTTAAGCGTAAACTGATCTATTTTTCTACTCTCTTTGCATTTTGCCTTTTATTAAATCTTAATACATATGATAATAAAAGAATATATCATATATCCATATTTATCATAGTTTTCAACTGTTTTCATACACATATTTGGGTTAGGCTGTGACAAATGGCGCAATTGTTTATAATTAGATCGTTTATTTATATTAAACTAGGGAATGTAGATATGTATGCAAATGATCGAACTGGCATGATAGATATCCTACACATACGTCTGGTGTCCCAAATCCAAAGGTCGGACAAGGGTCCAGATATAAATTTATTGACCAAGACTAATCTTTGCGAGATACGGGCGTTCCCTACATGTTGAGGGATGCATCACAGATTAATCATTGAAGGCAAGACTTTGAAGTTGGGTCTCTTAAATCAATGCAGTATTTTTAAATATGGCAATTAAGCTTTAATTGCAGCTTTTGAGCGACAATCAGTGCAAAACTCACAAATGGAAACTGTATGAATGTGCGCGTGTGTGTGTGTGTGCGTCATGTGTGTGTGTTTTGTGTTGGAATGTGTCACAGCAGCTGCTTTGTTCTATATACTGTGCATAATATCGATTTTTCGTATGGCCCACTCTGTATCAATAAAAACAGCTGCGCTTGCATTCAATTACATAAACAAA